CCTTTGCCACATTTAGAGCAATTTTCTGTATCGTGCTTTCATATACTCCAACATCTAACTGGGTCTTTCCATAATGCAAGACCCAGGTATGCAGAAGTCCAGCAGAAACCTGTTGGTGTGGTTCTCAGAGATGAAAGAGAAATTGACCTTTAGGTTACTCTTTTTTACTAAGTATAGTGTAGAAGTACAAAGAATATTTTTAAATACAGGTGATAAATGTAAATGGCACAAAATTCAAAATAGTTCCGAATTGTGAAAAATTAAGTCTTACCCTTCCTCTTCCATATCAGAGTATATTGACAGTCTCGTTCATTTTTTATGGCTACAGGGTATTACATTATAGGGATATATTAAATTTACTTAACCAATCCTATCAAATGCCACATTAAATATGGTTAACTAAGCTATATATGTTTGGTGGCTTTTTTAAGCAATCTTTTTTTTAAAAAATAAACACTTTGAAATTCGAAATAAGATGTATACAATACACAGCAGCAATTCTACTTTGGGGTATTTATCCTACAGAAATAGATACGTATGTGAGAAGTGAGTGCATATAAGGGTATTTATTGCAAAGGATTGGAAACAACCCAAAAGCCCATCAACAGATGCTTTCTGTAATAACTTACATGCCTGATTTTTCTGTTTCATCGATTGCTCCCTTTCCTTCTCTGTTAAAGGTTGTTTTTTTGTTGTTGTTGGTTTTAAATTGAAATGTGGTCAGTTACAATGTGTCAGTTTCTGGTGTAAAGCACAATGTCCCAGTCGTACATATACTTACATATATATTCAATTCAGTTTAATATTCTTTTTCATTAAAGGTTATTATAAGATATTGAATATGGTTCCCTGTGCTATACAGAAGAAACTTGTTTTTTTTAATCTATTATTACATACAGTGGCTAACATTTGTAAATCTCAAACTCCCAAATTTATCCCTTCCCACCTGCTTTCCCCAATAACCATAAGATTGTTTACTATGTCTGCAAGTCTGTTTCTGTTTTGCAGATGAGTTCATAGTGGCCTTTTTTTCTTTTTTTTTCTTAGATTCCACATATAAGTGATATCATACGGTATTTTTCTTTCTCTTTCTGGCTTACTTAGAATGACGATCTCTAGGTCCATCCATGTTGCTGCAAATGGCATTATTTTCTTTTTTATGGCTGAATAGTATTCCATTGTATGAATATACCACAACTGCTTTATCCAGTCATCCTTTGTTAAAGATTGTTGAGTGTTAAACATTCGATTCTTTGATGCTTGTCCTTTGTTTTCTTGTCACTTTATCGACCCTCTCAGGCATTATCATGTATTGGATCCTCTTGGTTTTATGACCATTTACATACTTATAACTTCAGATTCACATACCAACCCAGACTCTTTCCCTCAGCCCCAGGCCCAGATCCAGCTGCCTGTATGTCATCTCTACCAAGATAGCTTGTGTTTTCATCATGTTACAAAATGAACTCTTTCTTCTACCCTCTCCCTTACACTCATGTCTTTCTGTTCTGGTACACCCTGTCCAGTACCTGGTACCATCATCCACCAGCTTATACTAACTAGACACTGGGTAGTGGTCTTTTTTTTTAATTATTGACATATAGCTGACTTACAATATTATATTAGTTTCAGCTGTACAACATAATGTGATATTTTTACAGATTATACTCCATACAAAGTTGTTACAATATATTGACTATATTCCATGTGGTGTACACTACATCCTTGTAACTTACTTATTTTATACCTTGTAGTGTGTACCTCTTAATCCCTTTCACCTATTTTACCCCTCCCCTGATTACTTTACCCTCTTGTAACCACTAGTTTGTTCTGTGTGTCTGTGAATCTATTTCTGTTTTGTTATATTTGTTCGTGTTTTATTTTTTAAATTCCACATATAAGTGAAAACATAGAGTATTTGTCTTTCTCTGATCTGACTTATTTCACTAAGCATGGTACCCTCCAGGTCCATTCATATTGCTGCAAATGGCAACATTCCATTTTTTTATGGCTGGCTAATGTTCCATTGTATGTATATACCACATCTTTACTCATTCATCTGTTGATGGACACTGAGGTTGTTTCTATAACTTGGTGATTGTAAATAACGCTGCTATGAACATTGGGTGCATATATCTTTTTAAATTAGTGATCTTTGATGTATGCCTTTTCCTTACCCTCGGGCAAAATCAATCAGGAAATCATATCAATTCTGCCTCCTAAATATCTCAAAAACCTGCCCATTTGTCACCATCTCCGTGCTACCACCCAAGTACAAGCCACCATTACCCCTTTCTACAATTACGACAGTCTCCCAGCTGCTCTCTATGCAGCCACTCTTGCCCTCCCTCAATCCACTCTCCATATGGTGGCCAGATATTCCCAACATGTTATTTTCAAATGTTTGAACATGCAGAAAAGTTGAAATGCATTTAGGGTGAACACTGTGGTACCCACTACCTAAATTCAGCTTCGTTAGCTGTACTTACTCATTATCTGTCCATCTACAGAGTGATCTTTTTAAAAATGCAGATCTCATCCTGCTTTAAAACCCTCTGTGGCTTTCCCTTGCCCTGAGAATAATATCCAGATTCTTCTTCCTGGCGTGCCAGGCCCTGTATAAGATGGTTGCTGCCTCCTTTCCGCTCATCCCAGGCCATGACTCCCCTCCCATTCTCTTCCGCCACATAATGCCTTTTTCTGCTTCTCAGTTGTACGAGCCTCTATCCCATCTCGTGTCTTTTGCAAAGGAATCTTCTTGCCCCTTCTCCACATTGGCCTGCTTTCCATTAATCATCCAGACCTTAAACGTTACCTCCTCAGGGAAACCTCCCCTGACCCCCTCTCTGCCTGGCTAGGTCACAACAGCTTGCCTCTATTTCCCCTTTGCTACCTACATCACAATTATAAGAAATTATCCATGCAATGAGTCTTTTAATGCCTGTGTCAATTCCCTCCCCCCCACATCCCTAGAATGTAAGATTCGTAAGGGCAGAGATGTTATTTATATTTTTTCACAGCTATATCCCCTGTGCTTAGTTGAGAGTGGATAATTAAAAAATTATTTGTGGATTAAGTGAAAATGAAAAAAATGCAACATCAGAGAATGTTAGACCAGTAAGCGTCTTGAGAGATGACTGTTCCTAACTTCCAATTAATAGACAAGGAAACTGGGACCCACATAGTACTGTAGTTAAAACCCAGACAGTTCAGCCCAGCCGCTCTTGGCATAGATAAAAGCATAGAGTGTGCTCTCCAGCCCAGCATCTCAGCTTCTCAGAAGGAGAGACCGTGGCCTTGTCTGGAGGATCCTGCTCCCTATTTGGAGCAGCCCTCAATTTTCCCTCGGTTGAATCTGATGAGTTGTAAAGGGACATGGGCCAGCTTACAAGCCTGACTTGATCCATTCAGTTTGTAAATAGCACTGCAGGACACACAGCACAATCAGTGTATCAGCACTCATTTCGCTTATGTTGTTATTGTCAGTGAAATTATCTGGATATAGATTTTCAGGCCACAAAAGCACCACCAACAAAGATACTTCGGTGAAACTTCTTATTCGTGGCCTCCTTTTCCTTAAGAAACTTACACAAATATATGATCAATCATGATTAAGGACTTAGCTAAACTGATGGGTGAATTGAGCCTACCTGATTCACAGTAATACTAGCCTCCTCATCACCTGCTACCTCAAGGTTTCTATGTGGCAGGGGAGCAGAAGGCTGTGGGACAAATAAGAGCAAAGCCCACTTTTAGAAGCAAAGTGGATCCAGATATCACATCCCAGAAGCACCTCAGAGTGAAATACTATGGCATTTGGGGCTGTGATCAGTGTTTGTTTTTTCTTCCATGTAGATATTTCACATTACACTGAGCGTTGCCTTTCGAAGTTGGCAGAAGGGCTTTCCTCCCAACATGGTATCATTTATGGCCTCTAAAATGAAAACATAAATCAAATGAGGACATTCATACAGGCAAAACTATAACAAAGATTGGATTTGGCAAGGTTTGAACAAGAGCCATGGAAATTGGGCCATATCAAGGATTCCAAAGGCTTGTCTGAATCATCTAGGGCGTGAATTTAATACATTGATTCCAAAGCATTGCCGCAAACCTCCTGAACAAAATCTCCAGAAAACTCATTCTTATCTTGGGTGATTCTAATATGAATGATCACAGTTTGAGAAATGCTGCATTAGAGGACATATTATCTTGACTATATTATTTGGACCAACTCTACATCATAATGACAAATTGGATTTGGCTAACCTGGGCATTATTAATTGGAAGGCAACCATGGTGAGGTGGAAGCAGCCTAAACTTGAACTCAGATTGACATCAGTTCAAGTCTTGACTAGACTACTTACCAACCAAGTGACCTCTCATTCGAGTTAATTATCCGTTCTAGGCCTTGATCTACTTGCCTCTAAACTAGGGATACTTAGGCTATCTTGGAGTAATTGAAGCTATCAAATGACATAATATGTGCAAATATGCTTTGTAAATTTTAACCCACTGTGGAAAAAAAGGTCATTATTAGTGAGCTAGAAATAGCAATCTGTGGTTCATAATCTCTTAAGCCCCTCTTTTCCTGAGAGCTTTGTTAGGTCTTAATCATTCTATGTACAATGAAGTGGTCTCCAGTGTAC